GAGCTGAAAAAAGAAAACTGCTCAATCTTATGTTGAAATATGTATGTATAAGGGATACACACACACACACACACAAACATATATATACTATATGTGAAATACATATATATTCTTATATGTACAGAGAGACATATACACACACACACATCTTTTTTTTTTCTACCTTCAAATACCTTTATAATATCCTGAAGTCATTTTATAATAATTCATAGGAAGACTTAATGCCACTGTTCAGACAAAACTGTTCTCTGGATAAACTATAAATCCCAAATACCTGGGGGAATATGAAAAGTGTCATCTTAGTTTTACATCCCGAGGCTGCTGCATGGAGAAGCCAGAGCTCTTTTTCACCTACTTTCCATTGCTAAAGTGATTCTGCTTTGCTCCTGGGTAGATATGCCACCCCACTTCTCATCTTCCTGCCTCTTCCTCCCGTTCAATCGTTTTGCTTCTTCAGCTGCCCTAGGTACTGGAGACTGAGAAGGAAAACAATGAGACGGTGAACAAAAATGCAACAACTGCTTTAGTCCTTGCTGAAGAGTTTACCCAATTTGACTTAAATATTTATTATCTTCTCACAGTGACCTTTGACCAGCATCCTTCATGCGGCAAGCGTCTTTCCTGATGCCGGAAGTCCCAAGTCTTTTTAATTTTTTTTTCTCTGTTGAGGCATGTGGGGTCTTTAGTTGCTGCACGTGAGATCTTTAGTTGGGGGATGTGAACTGTTAGTTGCGGCATGTGGGATCTAGTTCCCTGTCCGGGGAGAGCACCTGGGCCCCCTACACTGGGAGCAGGGAGTCTTAGCTGCTGCACCACCAGGGGAGTCCCCAGCAGTACTGAGTTTTAACCTATCTTTGCTACTTCCTCGCTGAGTGATTTCGGTCTGTCACATGGCATGATGGAAGCTGGGAGTCATGCGGAAAGGTGGACATGGAAAATCCATCCCAAGCAAAATGCTGCTTTTAGACGTGAGTATAGTAGTCTTACTACCTTGGGACTGGTTATGAGGTTTTACTTGTGCAGAAGATTGCGGGTCCGCCTTTCCCACCAAGCTGCAGCCTCCAGCTACAGCACAGATCTGTAGAAGGCCCAGGCTGAGAATTCCGGGTGTGGACACAAGCCAGTGTGTGCCTGGGGCCCTCAGTCTCACCTCTGGAGTTGCCATAAGTCTGCTGCAGTCTGCTGCATGCCCCTGCAGTCTGCCCCCTACCCCCATCCAGTCGGCCAACTTAGTTGCCCACGGCCATGTAACTGAGTCAACGCTATGTGAAAAATCATACAGAAAATGCCTGACGATAGAGTGGACCACAACTATTGGAAGGAGAACCTTTTCCCTCTACCAGATCTTTTACTTGACTATGAACTGCCTCAGGCCCATCCCTGGATTGCTCTTTTGTCTTATTTCCTGTTTTGTCTCCAGTCCCTATGCATAATAGGCACCGATGATTTTTTGCCACGCAGCTTATCTCCTCTGCTGGGTGGTAAATGGAAGCTAAGACACATGGTAGGATGTATTAGGGTCTCCCATTAGGAAGAGAGCATGGCTCAGGATGAGAGGCACGTTGTATTCTGATCAGGGATGACCCAAGTTTTCATTTTAATTTCAATGTGAGTGGTATTCTTTAGGTCTAGACTTAAAAAATGGAGATAAGAGGCATTGGGGGAAGGGAGATGCATGATCATGCAGTTGTCAAGAGAAGGGGGTGTTCTTTTTTTTTTAAAAAAAGATTTTGTTTTCCTCCATATTACAACATGATTAGGTTTATTTATTTATGTATGCATTTGGCTGAGCTGGGTCTTAGTTTCTGCATGCGGGATCTTTAATTGTGGCATGAAGGATCTAGTTCCCTGACCACTAATTGAACCCGGGCCCCCTGCATTGGAAGCACGGAGTCTTAGCCATGGGACCACCAGGGAAGTCCCGAGGAGGGGAGGTGGATTTTTAACATCAGATGTAGTCTTTGCAGCCAGCTAGGCTGAACAACATGCTGCAAGGAGGCCAGGAGGCTATGTATATGTAAACACACATGTGTGTATATTTGTTCTCTGCCAATACTTGGCCATAATGTTATCAGGTGAAAGCACTACTTGTTGCATCCATCAAGGCATGAGTAAAAATATCTACATCAAGTCCAAGAACAGTTCTCTTTCTAATTTCAATTTTGCTCTTAAACTTGTCCTGTTAGATCATCCTTTAGGATGATCACCCTTTATCAACAAATAGGTGGCAAGAAGGACACAGAGGGTCATTTTCATTTAATCCAGAGTTCGAGTGCAGTACTCTGGTGGGATGGCTGCATTTTACTACTGTGTGGCAAGAAGGCTATTCAATCAGGCTGTTGCTTCCTTCAACTTCATTCCCCCAAATGTGAACCCCTAATTTAGATTAGGTTTATAAAAGCTTCAACTTAGCAGGGACCAAGGCTTCATATTGCCAGTTAGGTCGTTTTATCTGACTCATTTGGTCTGACCACAGAAGGCAATTGGATTTGCCTGAACTGCAGACCCACTAACCCTTACTCCATGTCTGTGCATTCATTGAACACATTTACTCACATCTACCATCCCAGGCATTATGCTGTTAAGACAGCACGATTTTACCACGAACTTGTGATGAGCTTTCAAAGGATCTTAGAAAAGAGATGGCAGGTAAACTTAAGATCAAATATTCTTTGTGGATATACCTGAAGCAAATACAAAGAAGGAAGACGCTAAAAATAAATCCAGGAGATGAAATTTGTAGTCTCTTAGTGAAAGCAGACATGAAACGAGTGGCCATAAGCTCCAATAAGTGCAGGCGAAGCCCAGAAAAGGGAGTAATTAATTCTTTGAGAAGGGACCAGACTGCAGGTCAGGGAAAACTTCTAGTAGCAAGTGATTCCTGAACTGAATTTGGAAAGGTAAATATGAACTTGTCTAGCTGTGTGTGGGGGTTGTGGGAATGGGAATGTGGGATTGGGTTTTGGGCAAAAGTCAATGTATTAAAGGCAAAGAGGCGTCGCATAGGAGGACCAAGGACTTCCCTGATGGTCAAGTGGCTAGGACTCTGTGCTCCCAAGGCAAGGGGCCCAGGTTTGATCCCTGGTTGAGGAACTGGATTGTGATGCAATTAAGACCTGGTGAAGCCCAATAAACATATAAATTTTTTTTTTAAATGAGAGGACCAGAGAACTAACTAAAAGCATTTGGTATTGATGAAGTATGAGAAGGGCAGTGGTGGAAACTGGGCAGGACAGCAGTGAGCTGAGAGCTTATATATTGTGCTAAGAAGTTTGGGACTCAGTTTTACATTAGAGGCCATCTAGAGTCACGAAAGGATTTTAAGCTAGGGATGAAGTAGCTTAAATGACAGCCATTTGTGGATGTGTTGGAGGGAGCCAGGGAGGTCAGTGAGAAGACTGTTGCAATCGTTTCTAAGAGACAGTGACAGAAGAAGGCAGGTACCCCTAAGCAAGTGACAAAGTCACGCAGTCACTGCCTGAGTTGGCCCCACTTATGCAATGGGTTCATTATGAACTTGGGATGAACCTTCAAAGGGACCTTTGGAAAAGACAGGCTAGTAAATTTAAGATCAGGAATTCTTTTTGGATATACCTGAAGCAAATATAAAGAAAGAAGGTGCTAACATAAATCTAGGAGAACAAATTCCTTTCCATGGGCTCCAGTCACCAAAGTGCTTGAATCCACTGGGTTTCATGAGGCCCTAGCGCACGGAACGCTGTCTGTCTAGCACAGCCCAACAGCTGGCTGTGTGGAATGCTTCAGATGAGGGGTTCCAGGAGAGGGACTACAACTTCCAACCCTTCTCCTATCTCATTCAAAGCTGCAGCCTTGGAGATAGTTCAGTTGAGCCGGCCTCATTCCCCTCTGACATAGCCCTGCTGTAGGATCCAAGATTATCTGAACCAGCTTCTCCACCCCATTCCCACCCACAGTCAGGCCTGGGAAGTTAACGTGCCTGGAATTAAACTTTGATTGACAAGTGACACTGATTTTCAGGAGTAAAGAAAGTGGACAGGATCTTCCCTGGTGGTCCAGTGGTTAGGACTCCACGCTTCCACTTCAGGGAGCCTGGGTTCAATCCCTGGTCAAGGAACTAGGATTCTGCATAGTGCTGCAAAAAGAAAGAGGACAGCAGGCAGTGATCACTCAGAACTCTGAGGTTAGTAGCAGAAGGAAGAGACAGCAGGTGGGTGGGGAACAGCCAGGGTGGGGTTGTAGGCAGGCTTCTCTGGCATTGCTGTTCACCTTCTGACTGCTAGCGGGCCTTGTGCTTTACGAGGCGGAGGCCTTAAGGAAGGGAAAGAAGGTCAGAATCATCCTTGCAAGAAGGGGAGAAACTGGGGTCCTCATTGGACCACAGTCAAGGCTACCTCCAGACCCATCAGCAAGTCCATTGCTCTCACCGACAACTGCTCCCCTTCCCCCCACCAGTTATCAGGAGACGAAGGAATAAGATGAGACATTTCACATAGATGGTACTTTTCTTCCCAAACACTTAAGCCTCTATGGTCTTGCTCATCTTACATCTCTCCAAGAAAAGGCCCAGGATCCAGGCTCGGCCTTTCAGAGTTTGAAGTAACTTTAGAGAGTATTCAGTCTGCTTCCCTCATGTCTAGGGATGTGAACACTGAAGGGGAGGGGTGTGAAGTCGCCTGCCCGGGGTGGATCCCAGGAACGCCCCTCGCGCCTCCAGTGTGCTGTCTGCTTGGTCCATGAGGCCATGTGTCCACTTGGCAAATGAGGCCCTGAGTGAGAAGACGTAGCTGGAATTAGATGGTTCGGTGTGGCCGATTCACCCCTGGGTGTGGCTGATTCACTCCCGCGTGTGGCCGGTTTACTGGGGGGATCTTAAGCTTAAGCAGCTTCCTTACGTGAAATGGGATCAGGGTCACCTTTACACATACCTTGCAGAGTTGATGCAAAGGTTCCTGAAAACCACACGTGTGTAGGTGCTGTCGTGCCGGCACCCAGAGCAGTACTGGTGTTTTCCCTGTGAGCATTCGTCATGCCCAGCTAGCGGAGGTGGGCATGGGAAGCCAGCACTCTTGTGACCCATGTTCCTCCCTGCAGCCCTGGGTGGCCAAGAAGTGGTAAGAGCGGGGTGGTCAGCCTGGGGAACGCTGCATCATCGCCCAGGTTTCAGCTTTTTATGCCCAAGACCCAACCCAGGACGTCTGGGAACAAACCCTTCTCTGAGCACTGACTACCTTGTGGGTGGGCAGAGAGTTGAGTGTGGGCGGCTCAGGCTGTTGACGATGGGAAGACTCTGGGATCAGTGCCTTGTTTGTCTCAGATAGAGATCATGTGGGTGGGAAAGGAGGAAGTCCCCCTCTGAGGAGGTCACATGTCCTCGGACCTCTCTCCTCAGGATCCCTGATTCCCCAGCTCCTCCGGAGGACAGCCGTGATGTACTACAATGAGCTACAGCGGCATGTCAGAAAGCTTGATTGCCCCAGGTCCTGACGCTCACTACCTCGTTTACCTGGAGCCCAGGGCTCCTGGGCTGGTCCCTCTTCAAGCTCGGGATCCTCATCCCTGGCATGAGGATGACGGCTCCTCCAAAGATGTTTGTATTCATAAAATAGTGCCCTGGAACTACTAAGTGCAAGCCGTCTCTCTCCAGCCTCCTGGAACAAACTGTTCTTTCTCTGCAGCCTAGCCACCACCGAGGCCACAGTCTCCAGAAACCAGCACGCTCTTCCCTCGCGCTGTTCCCCCAGAGCCCCACCAGGAGGCGCCCTTTGCCCGCCGAAGCGGGCCGGGCTCGAACTCCTCCGGGCCGGGGTGGGCACCCCTTTGCGCAGGGCGGTGCTGGGTGCGGGTTGCACCCGGGGTCCCCCGGAGGTCGATCCAGCGCAGCGCCCGCACCGCGTCCTGCGGCCGCTTGGTCGCGCGCGCCCCCCGCGACCCTGCCCGTAGCTGCGGCGCCGGCCCCGCGCCTCTCGTTCGGCCTGGGCCCCCAGGGCGGCGGCAAGTTTGCTCTCGGTCGCTCGGGCCCCTCGCCACCGCTCTCCTCCGGCGCCTGGGCCCCGAGCGCGCCGGGAGAGAGGGCTACGAGCGCTGGCGGGCGGCTAGGCGCTCGGGCCCCGAAGGGGCGCCCCCCCGGCCGGCGTGCGCGGGCCGCCGTAGTTCCCGCGCTGCCCGCCGGGCGGCGCCGCGCGCCTCGGCCGCGCTCCTCCCGCGCTGCCCGCTCCTCGCTCGCTCGCAGCCGGACACAGACTCTGCCTTCAGCTGCCGGCGGATCGCTCCGGAGCCGCCGCGGCGGCTGCGGAAGAAGGGGGAAAAAAAAGGAAAACAACAGCCCGGCGGCCGGCGGAGCAGCGCCCGGCCCCAGCTCAGCCCCCGGAGTGCGGAGCCGCCCAGGTAAGGGCAGGGCCCGCCGCGGCGCCCCCGGCCCGCACCTGCGCTGCCCCCGCGCCCCCCGCGTCCCATCCGCGCGGAGCCCCGCGCGCGCCCCCTCCCGCGCCCGGATTCCCTACTTCTGACGTCTCTGTCTCTCCTGCCCTCCGGGGCCGCGGCCCCGCACCCCGCCCCCGCCCCCACCCCCTTCCCTGCGCCCTTCCCTCCGTCTCCCGCCTTCAGCCAGCCTGTCCCCTGCACTCCGGTCTCTGCGTCTCCCGATCGGGCTCCGAACCCCCATCGCTCTGCGCCCGTAGTTCCTCCGGTCTCCATCCCCATCTCCCTCCCTGCGCATCCCTTCCCCGGGCTCGCCGTCCTCCGGGTCTGGTCCTCCCTCTGCCCCTGGGCAACTCCCAGCCCTGCCTCTGCCCCCTGCAGGGATGACGGCCCCTTCCCCACCCCGGCGCTTCTCCCCCGCACCTCGTCACCCCCGCTTCTCTGGTCGTCTCGGTCCCCGGCTACAGTGCCCCATCCCAGCCCGGAGCCCACGAAGCCCCCTCCTCCAGTCCTCGCTGCCGTCTGCCTCGACTGCCCCCGGCCTCTGCCCTGGACTCTGGCCACCACCACACACCCCCCCACCGGCCCCCCAATCCTTCGCGCCGTCTCGCTTCGGGGGGAATAGCGTCGTATCAGAAACGACCCTCTTTTCCCTGGACGACTGAGGTTCCCACCCATCCCACCCTAGTTCACCGGAGTGGGAAGTGAGGGAGAAACTCCTGAGACCTGCATTTGGGCGTGTGATGGGGGAGGGGGCTGGGCGGAGCGGGGGAGGGGAGCTGACAGCGAGCTCCTCTCCAGTGAGGACTGGCGAGCGGTGCGCGGCTCGGACCGGGCCAGGGGAGAGGGCCAGCTTGCGACAGCTGGGACAGGGGTTTCTAGGCTCCGGGAGCACCTGTGTCTCTCTCGCTGGCTCCCCTGAGCTGAGGAAAGTGATGGGGGAGGAGTTGGAGCCCAGGGAGAGTTGGCGAGGGCCTTGGGGCTGGGGAGGCCGGCGGCCGGGGAGAACCTGGGCCCTCTGGGCCGCCGGGCTGGCAGTGGCCGGGCAATGCGGCCGGCGTCTCCCCACCGGACCTCGGGCCGCACAGCTCTTGGCACCTCTACTTCATGCTGCCATCTTCCTCCTGGTGCTGTTGTCTGGTGATGCCACGAGGTGCCACCTCCCTGCCTCCCTCCAGTGGCTCTCCTGGGCATGTTCTCCCAAGGGCCTGGGTTGTCTGGAAAGCAGAGGGACCCCTGGGCTTGGCTGGGCCCCCTGAGCCAGGCAGTGGATGCCAGTCGGGACCAGACTGAGACGTCCCAGGACTGGCCAAGTGCCCGGAGCCTTGCCAGGGACAATGAGAACTGCCTTCATCTAAGCTCCGTGTGGGTCACCTGGGTGACTGGGGTGCTTTCAGGAGCACCTGCCAATGGTGGGCGTGGTATCCCCTAGGAGAGAGGCTGTCTGGGTTGACAGTGGGCTGCCGGAGAGAGGACTCTGGTCCTGTTTGCTCCCCGATTGTCTGTGCTTGTGTGATGGGCGCGGGCTGGGGAGAGGTCCGCTGTGCTCTGGTCCCACTCCGGGAGGAACCCGGGGAACTCCGCTGGGCATTGCCAGGCTCTATTTGCTGAAGCTGCAGCTCATGCCTCTTCATTAATCAGGTTTATTATTTTCCTCACTGGCTGGATGTGTTCCTCAAGGTCACGACCCTTTGGAGAGTTAATCTAATATGCACACATTACAGTGTCTGGGTTTGTTTAATTTTCCGTATTTTGTTCATTTCTCATGGAGCGAGCTGTCCACGGAGCTGCGGCCCGGGCTTGCCCATCAGCCTCCTGCCTGCCTCACCAGCTCCATCCCCGTCCTCCTCTGGACCTACCAGCTGAGACCAAAGATGAATCTGGCTCCTGGAGTTCTTGGGAGAGCCTGGTGGAGGAGGGCAGGGGTTAGGGGAGGAGGGTTGAGAGGAGGTTCTGATTTTCTGTGTTTCCCCATCCCCCTGCCCCCACCTCCCTAGGCATCTTGATCATTGGCTAGCATTTTCCCCCGGCACCTGAAGTTCTTCCTAGAGACTGCCTCTGCTGCTTGGTCTGGCTTCCCAGTGTGGTTTTCCCTGCGGATGGAGAGGGAACTTTGCCTGGTGGCAGAGAAGCGGAGACTCTGAGAAGGTCCCAGCTGCTGGAGCTCAGGACCTCCTGGACAGTGGGCCTCAGCTGTGCCCGGTGTGAGTCTCAGCCCGACTGAGATGCAAGAAAGGAAGGAAGAGGGCAGGATGACCTGTCCTGGGAGACGAGGAAAAACTGCTCAGAAAAAAAAAAAGATGAACATCGAATATGAAGCCGGTGGCTGTGCAGCTGATGCGGGTGGGCAACAGGCAGAGGATAGGTGTGGGAAGAAAACATCTCTTGTTGCTTCTGCATAGTACGAGTCCCTTATGTGGTGATTGAGTTCCGCAGTTTTCCAAATGCTTTTTAGAAAAATTACTTTACTCGATCTGAACCAGACAAGCGTTTTGTCTATACCACTGCGCTTCGGGGAGGTGTTATTGATCCCCTGAAAACTGAGCCTCGAAGAGGTTCAGTGACTTGTCGGAGGCTCTGCAACCACACCCGAAGCCTCCGGACTCCCAGCCCAGGGCTCTTGTGCCATTGTACATGTGCCCATCACTTCAGCCACGTCCGACTCTTTGCCACCCTATGGGCTGTAGCCTGCCTCTCCTCTGTTCGTGGGATTTCTCAGGCAAGAATCCTGGAGTGGGTTGCCGTGAGACCTTCTCGACCCAGGGATGGAACCTGAGTCCATTTTGTCTTCTAGTATTGGGAGGCGGGTTCTTTACCACTGGCGCCACCTGGGAAGCTACTTGTTGCTTTTTAAGGTCTTGCTGCTGTTCGGCCCTCCCTCTCCACATCCCAGGCCTCAGCCCTCACATTCGCCAGTGGTCAGCTCAGCACCTCTCCTTGCTGCGGGCGCTGGCTCCCCACCCCTACCCCGGTCTGCGGTCTGGCTGGCCCTTGGTTCTGCGTTCTCCCTGCCCCTAACTGGCTGCACTGGCGCCCTGGCTGCCCTCCCACCCCCACCCCAGCCCATGGCTTCCTGTGGACCCCCCCTCCTGCAGAGTTCCCCGTTCTCCCAGGCACACAGCCTGGCGGCCTTGCGTTGCTCGGCTCCCCCATCCCACCCTTCTGCACCTTGTCGCTTGAGCCTTGGTTCTTTGGGACACTGCTGGTGCCCAGCCTGACCTTTTTCCCTGGGTACTATCCCATGTGGGGCTTCAGTGGCCCAGCCTTGGATTATGGTAACATAGCCTCCTCCCTGGGCAGGCTGCTCCCTGGCCTCCATGCCTGCCCTCCTGTAAAGGATGGTGTTTGGAACACGTGACCGGGTCTCCAGAGCATCAGTGGTCCCCTCTGGTTCCTGGATGGAGTTCCCAGGCTGTGGCCTAGAGTTTATGGCATCGACATTCTGGTCCCAACTCTATGCCTGTGGACCTGACCCTCTGCCTTCTCTCTGCCCACCTTTACCCCAGGCACTCTATGCCTTGCCTTGTCCTTTCCTCCTCCTCTCTGCCCACCCACACCTTTCCCAGCCTCCAGGGTGCCTCTGGAGCCACACGAGGTGTAGCCTGGGAAGGAATCCCCTGCCCCCACCCTGGCCCTCCATCCCCGCAGTGTGGCAGCTTCAGCGGCTCATGTCGGGCAGACGTGGGGTTCGTATCCTGGTGTCACTCCCTGGGTGTGAACAAATTGCTTAACCTCTCTGGCCTCACTCGCCTCACCTGTAAAACGGGAACAGTCTCTTCTGCCTGGAAGGCTTGCTGTTGGCGTGAGTGTGAGCAGAAGGGACTGTGGTTTGTCAGCCCAGGAGGTGCCTGGGGCATGTCCCCAGGGGGCCCCTCCACACAGCCTCTGCGGTTTAGCTCCCAGCGCCTGCCTGCTCTATGCAATTGCCTGTCCCTGCTTGTCTTCCACCTGGATGGCCGGTCCCCTAAGGAACAAGGCCTTTGGTGCCTTGGCACATCCTCAACTCCAGAGGAGCAAGCGCTGTCCTTCGACATCCCAGGAATTGGCCCCTGCCCCTAGTAGGAATGTGAGAAATAGTTGTTACTTGATTATAATATATGGTTACGTAAACTAGAGTATGCCTTACCTGTAGCAAATCCAATAGGAAAAAAACATTTTAAGCCACAGTACCAGCTGAGAGAAATGGTGGGAAGGAAGTAGAGGCTCAATTTAATGTTGGCTCATTTCTCTCGGTCACCCCGGAGACCCCGTGAATTGGACCTGATCATCTCTTACAGATGAGGAAGGGGGCCCTTAGGGGGCCCTGAGGTGTAGTCCATGGCTCAGACCAGGGAGCTCCAGAACCCCGCTTCCTTCAGGCCAGAAAAGGGGAGGAAGAGGCTCTTTATGAAAAGATACATCACAGGTTTCCTTTTAGACAACTGAGCATCTCTGTCACCTCCGTGCAGCCCAGCAGTTATTGGGGGGTTACCAGCACCTTGGGGAGGCGGG